AATAAAATAAAATAAAATAAAATAAAATAAAATAAAAAAAACAAAGTGAATAGAAGTGAAAGGCTTCTTGGAGACAGGACATTTGAGTAACCTGAATGACAGGAAAGAGACAGCCGTGTAACAATCTGGGAACAGAGCTGCCCAGGTAAAGACATTACAAAGTATAAGAGTACAATAAAAAAAATTTTAATGGTTTATCTCTAAATCAATTTCTTTTAATAAAATGCATTATATGTGATTCCTATGTGCACGAATTTGAAAACCACCAACTGAAAAAACCCTAAGTGGCAAGTAAATGGCATGAAGTGATCAGCACAGAATTAAAATTGAGAATAACACTGGGGCTGTTCAGTTGGTGGAGCATGAGGCTCTTGATCTCGGGGTTGTGAGTTCAAGCCCCACACTGAGTATAGAGCTTACTTTAAAAAAATGAGAATAACATTAGCTCATGATAATGATCAAACTATTGATGCTAACTATATTGTATGTACTATGCTAAATTCTAAATTATATAGTCTCATTTTCAGCCTGAAGATACACTGTGAGATATCCACACCATTTAGAATCAACAAGATTTAAAGATTAAATTTAATATTTAATTATTAATATATAATATATGGCTATTAATATGCAATTATTAATAAATATTTCTTTATTTAAAGATTAAAGTGGTTGAATAAAGATATTCAGTCTTACCCTTGAATAATACAGAATTTAAAAGACCGAGCTAGTATTTCACTGATCAGATTCCAAGAAAAAAAGTTAAACTCATAATATCTGAGGTGGCAAGGGCATGAGTGAAGAGATGCTCTCATTCAATGTAGCTGTGCCATATACTGGTTCAGACCTTTTTTGATAGCAAATTGTCACTAGCTACCAAAATTTATGAAGGGCATATTCTATGAATTGGCTACAGAGAGACTCCCATACAATAGCACAAAATTACATATAAAGATGTGCATTATGTATTGTCTTATGGTAGCAAAAACATTGGAAATAGTCCAAATATCCATCAATAAAGGGTTAAATAAACCATGAAATATCTACAATATGGAATATTATACAGTGCTTAAAAAGGTAATGATGGTGGGCACCTGAGTGTCTCAGTCGGTTAAGTATCCGATTCTTGGTTGATTTCCACTCAGGTCATGATCTCATGGTCATAGAGCTCCACATCAGGCTCCTTCCTGGGCATGGAACCTGCTAAAGATTCTCTCTTTCTCTTCCTCTGCCCTTCCCCCTCTCACACTCTCTCTCTCTCTCTCTCTCTCAAAAAAAAAAAAAAA